TGATAGTCTCAGCCCCTCAAATGGTTGAAATAATAGTTATTTCTTATACGAAGGTAGTACTGATAGTACAAAGGTATGTTGTGCTGAGAAATCATTTTGCTCAGTGTTTATGACGAAATATGAAGGTCCATAAACTGCTGAGAGGTCATAATAAAGATGGGAAAATGCACGGTTGGCTCAGAGAGCCGTGTTGCGACTACTCTAAGTGATAGAAAGCAGAAAACTGGAGCTAAGTTTTGCCTGGCAGGATTCCTGTGCACTCTAGCTAATTACATATTTCACATGGATGACTTTAATTCAAATGAAAAGTGACTAGACCCTATAAGGAGCGTCCACTGAGATTTGCTGCTCTCCAGTTGATTTCTACCACCTGGGATTTCCCTTTAAAATATTCGTCTGTCTTGACGAAGCCATGCCAGGCTTAATTTAATATCTCCGTGGATGAACGGAAAGCAAACGCTGCCCTATATGGACACGGACGGCCAAGATCATGTGAGAGGTTTAACCTCGGCACGATGCACCTCCGCTGCCCATCTGTGGACAGCAGGAAACATGGGAGTGAAGTCGCCCTGGCAACAGGCCTGCATCATCGTGACCTCTCCCTCCGTCTTCGCTCTCGCGCCGCAAACAAATGACTGCAACGAGTGCCATGCTCCGGCTGATGTCACGGGTATCCATGGCAACCGGAGCTCAGCTGTGACGCTGCAGAAGAGGGGGCCTGACCGGAGGGGTGAGAAACAGGAGCGCCAGAGAAATGCCGCGGGAAGTGTGATACTGCTGTGACGGAAGCGTCGGAAAGCCACATTCCTGACCATTTTCATAAAATGACCATATTCAATATATATCTCAATATAATTACGTGCTTGCCTTGAAATTCTTATATAGCTGAATCAGCATTTCAACCAAACAATCACTGTTGCCAAATAGATTTAAACGGTTTCATGCAAGAAGTAACATATTATACAAATCTATAATATCAAATACATAAAAAAAAAAAAAAAATGTCAACAGTTTATCACTAAACGAAAACAAGAATAGCATTTAATCATTTTCATTTAAATACAATAATATAAAGTGATATATAAACATATATAAAATATAATAATGATATAATAATAAAATACAAGTATATAACCTACATATATTTTAACTAAATAATTTTATATAAATATATAAACGGCAACATTAATCTTCATACATGTTAACTAAAACATTTTTATATACATTTATAAGCAACAACATTAATCTACATATATTTTAACTAAAACATTTAATATAATATAAAAATATATAAACAGCAACATTAACGTATATATTTTAATAAACATTTTAAAATAATATAGAAATATTAACAATAATCAACTTATATTTTTTACTAACATTTATTAATATAACACATAAATATATAAACAGCATCAATCCACATTTATTTTAACTAAAACATTTTAATATATTATATATAAACAGTAACATTATTCTACATACATATATATATATTATTTAAAACTTTTCAATATACAATATAAGTATGAACAATTATCTACATCAATTTTTAACTAACAATTTTTAATACAATACATAAATATATAAACAGCAATATTAGTCTACATATAGGCTCTATCATTTCAATTTAATTTATAAATATCAACAATAATATACATATATTTTTAACTAACACATTTTAATATATACAGCTATCAACAAAAATCTACAAATATTTATAACCAACACATTTTAATATAACACATAAATATATAAACACCAACATTAATCTACATATTTTAATTAAAACATTTTAAAATTTGAAAAAAAAATTGAGTGATAATGCAATCAATTTGTTTAATCAAAGTCTTGAATTAACTCACTTAGACTGATTCACAGAAATTAATTAAACGTAATTTCAAAGTTTTAGAATCAGAAACGCTATTAAAACATTAATAGAAAAAAACGTCTTAAATGACAGGCAGTTTCGGAAACTTAATGACCAGACACAAAGTGCACTTAAAATCGCTGCAATATCCATGATGTGGCTTAATTTGATCGCCCCACCCAAGCTTGAACTAATCAATCTAAATCCATAATGCACTGGAAAGCAAACGGATGACACACAGTAGCTTACAAAGTGAAAAACTCTTCTTTGGTGCATCACACACACCGAAAAGCACCTCCCGCCATCCACAGCAGAACTAGTTTTGCTTATTTTCCACCAGCGATGAACATCTGTTCACGGTTCCTGACCAGCGTTCTGCTGTGTAACATGAGGCTAATAGAGCGGCGCTCACACAAACACACACGCACTGGTTTAATACTACACCAGCGGGGTCACACTGACGGTGTACAAGCTTGCCAAACCGTGTGCCTGCCCTCCGCACACTCATTAGGTCAACTCTGCCATGGCATGTCAACAGATGGTGCTTAAAAACAGCAGAGCTCAGAAAGAACATTAAAAAACTAATAAACAAGTGAAACTAACTTTAACAAGGACACAAATGCTCTATTTAGATGCAGATTCAACGTGTTAATTGGCTTCGAACTTCGATTCTCTGCGCCAAACCGAAACGATTTGGCCATCAGTCATATGGACGCTACTTCGCACTTTCGATGACTCATGCTTTCAGAAATCTGCTAATTAGACAACGTTCCCAAAGGACTTGAAGTCTTATGCGAGTCAACATCGCTTAGGCTCGATTCTGATATCCACTGATTAAGCACAAATCCTTAAATTTAGCATGCCTGTTGCAATTGGACAGTAACGTCCTGGTTGTCCTCTCTCTTAATATCCCACTGAAAACAGCAGTGAGAGACAGCTGCATTGACAGTGCTAATTAACCTTATAAGACCATTCAGAGAACATGTAGGAGAAAGCTCAGTTAGATCTGTGGCCGCAACCTCACTGTGAGCTCCAACAACGATCTGAGCACTCATTAAATTTCATGCAAACCTCCGCAGACAGACATTTTACCAGATACAGATCTGTAGAACGCTTTCCATTCGAGCAGCTACTTTGTGGCAAACAAATGAACTCAAGGGACTCAATTGATTTCAATGGAGTTTGATGTTTACATGTTGCTAAATTATTGCGACATTAATCCATAAAGCATAAGAAATACATAGCATTCACAAATATTGGGTAAACCACCAGGAAAATCTAATCAAATTGCAATAAAAAAGCTCCAGGTTTGCAGTGCTTGTTTGTAAGGCTGCACAATTTGGCCAAAGATTTTGTGATTATTTATTTCTTTAACCAGGATAGCGTCTCTGATATTCAAAATCTCTTTCACAGGAGTGTCATCTACATTTGCACATTGCAGTGGTTCTCTGCCGATGAGCATCAGCATTTCTCCATCAGCTCGCTGCTGGTTTCGGCATCAGCACAATGCGTAAGGTGCTTCCTGCCTCGCCAGCACCCACAACCTGTCTCAGGGGATCACGGGCCAAATTTAGTGAAATATTTAGAGCATGCGTTGTGCCCTACCAAAAAAAATAAAAATTGTGAAACACCGTCTTTGTTCTGCAAAACTGCACATGTGCTTCATATTTGAATGATTCCCACATGCATGTTACTTTCACTGCATTTGTCCCAGAGAGTAAAGCATGTTTCAAAAAGGAAACACCAAACAAGCCAGCTGGGAGTCACAGGTTTTTGTATGCTACACGCTTCACTTCGCACAGAAACAACAGAAGAAGTGCATGATGCGCTTAAAAGAACTCCCAAATATGAAAATTCTGCTATTATTATTTCATACTCGTGTTATTCCACACCCACAGGCTGTTATTTTTTCTGGGGAACATAAAAGGAGATTCACACATCTCTTTTCCACACGGACCATATGAACCAAACAGGCTAAAAAAAAAAACACCATAAAAATGACTCAAATGACTCAACATAAGTCCTCTGAAGTTATACATTAGTTTTCCGTGAGAAACAGACCACTATTTAAGTCATAGATTGCAAATAAAATATGACACAGAATAGCCATCCTTGGTTTTTGTGTTTCGTGGTCAAACATTATTGAAGTCAAAGTTTATATGTAGGGTTCTATGCGATCCCCACCCCCCCCTAAAATATGTTTCATTTTTCCCAAATTCCATTTTTTCCTATTTAATTTTTTTGGATTCCATTTTTTTTCGGTTTTATTTTTTTAGGGCTTCATTTTAAACGGACCCAAAAATTTAAATTCTGTCATCATTTACTCACCCTCCACTTGTTCCAGAGTTTCTCTCTTCTGTTGAGCACAAAAGAAGATATTTTTGAAGGATTTTGGTAACCAAACAGTTAACGGCAGCCATTGACTTCCATAGTATCTTAAAAAATGGAAGTCAATGGCTACCGTCAAGTGTTTGATGACAGAATGATGACATAATGTTCATTTTTGGGTAAAATATCCCTTTAATGGTTCAATTAAATGTTAATACATTAAAACCATGTCTAATTATTTGAAATCATGAAACTTATACAATTTAACAAAATTAGATTTTTAGGGCCCAATTAAATACATTTGATTTATTTTTTCTTAAATTCTGTTTTATTTTTACCAAATTTTTAAATGTTTAATTAAACTTTAATAATCAAAAAGCATGTTTAATTAATTGATTTTTATTTATTTTTTACAATAATAGGGCCCTATGAAATGTTTTGTTTTTCAGAAATTCTGTGTTGTGTATTTACATTGTTCTGGTAATTCCTGATATCATAGGGGTCTACCTTATATGACACATCTAAAGTCACAACATTTGATTTGGGATTTGGGATAATTGATATTTGTGATAATTGTAAGAATTGAATTTTCATAACTTACTTATTTAAAACCACTCTATGATTTCAAAAGACTTGGAATATAGCTCACAAGGTGTACAAACTACTTTTATGGAGATTTCTTATCCTTTTTGGAGCTTGACAGACGTGGTCATTAGGAACATTATTGTATGACAAAGTGACGATGAGTAATTAATGACAGAACTTTCGACTGCTTTAATGTAAGATAAAACCATGAGCAAACCTGAATCATGTAGAGTTGAGCGATGCGGTACTCCTCCACGCTCATGGGCATGGGGATGCGGTACTCTTTGATCAGCATGTTGGCCGTGGAGCGGGGCTGGGGCTGGAAACGCTCCGCTGGGTCAGGGCAAATCCACCAGGACGGCCCTTAGCTCGAGTGCATCAGAGAGAAGGAGTCCAGCTCATTTCTCAGACCTGGGCAGAAAACAAAGATAGACAGACAAATCAGACTTGAAAATCATCTTTGGACGTCCAGAGGAAAGCTTTTGAGATCTGAGGCATGACTATGGAGACTCAAACAAATGAATAAATATTGTGTTAATAAACCGCATACATTTAGCAAGGCTTGCTTAAGTGCTTAAAGAAAAGAAACCTAATTCAAGATATTTGCTCTAAAAACAAGTCCTGATATCTTGTGCAAGTTTGCTTCTTGACTAAATTTATCTTGCTTGAAGGATCCTGAGATATTTTTACAGTAATACTGATACAAAAATACTGATTAAGAAAATTACACCAGATTTTTAAAGTTTTTTTTTTTTTTTAAGTCATGCTCCGCAAAAACAGCAAAACGGCAGATTTGAGTTTTAGTTTTTATCTCAAGTGTTGCATAATGTGGTTCTCCAGTGAAAATATCTAAACATAATCAATCTTCATCATAAACCGCACAAGATTTGGCTAAATACCTAAAACAAAATAAGAGAGAAACTTACTTTAAGATATTTTGCTGAAAACAACCCCTAATATCAAGTGCAAGTTTGCTTCTTAAGTAAATTTATCTTGTTCTGAAGGATTTTGAGATATTTTGAGATATTTTTAGGGGGGAAAAAAGAGACAAAAATAATTTTGATTAAGAAAAAGACTACAGATGTGTTTTTAAAAGATGAATCACTTTTATTAGGTAAAGTGTCTTTTAAAAGCTGAAAAAAAAGCTTAAGATGCTGAAAAAAATGTTGAAATATGTTGAAAAAATGTTGAAATATGCTGCAATGGTCAAAGTGGTCTCTAGTCTCTTGCACAAATGCATCCATACACAGAAAAAAGCAATAGATCTAAGAATGTCCCAGAGATGCATACGGAGAACCAATGAATATATAAATAATAAAATAAAAACAATAATTTAGAGATTTTGTTTCTAACTCAAGTGTTGCATAGATTCTCTGAAAACAAGTCTTAATATCTTTTGCAAGCTTGCTTTTGGAGTAAATGTATCTTGTTTGAAGGAAGTTGAGATATTTTTTTACAGGAAAACAAGACAAAACTACTGATTAAGAAAATTACTCCAGATGCATTTTTAAAAGTTGAACTGCTTTTACCAAACAAATTGCTTGAGAAGCTAAAAGACTGCAATGAAAAACATGGATATATATATATATATATATATATATGTGACCCTGGACCACAAAAGAAGTCTTAAGTCACTGTGGTATATTTGTAGCAATAGCCAAAAATACATTGTATGGATCAAAAATATAATTTTATTTTACGCCAAAAATCATTAGGATATTAAGTAAAGATCATGTTCCATGAAGATATTTCCTACAGTAAATATATTAAAACTTAATTTTTGGTTCGTAATATGCATTGCCAAGAACTTCATTTGGACAACTTTAAAGGCAATTCTTTCAATATTTAGATTTTTTTGCACCCTCAGATTCCAGATTTTCAAATAGTTGTATCTCAGCCAAATATTGTCCAATTGTTCCATACATCAATGGAAAGCTTATTTATTCAGCTTTCAGATTATGTATAAATCTCAATTTCGAGAAATTGACCTTTATGGTTTGGGTCACATACACACACACACACACACACACACACACACATACATACATACATACATACATACATAGGTAGAAAAACACTGATAAAGTATCTTCAAACTAAAATGCTCATTAATAAACTCCATTTACAAAGTAGCACATTCTATATCACTTATTAGAAATAATTACTTCGAAAACATTACTTCTCATTACTTATTGGAAAACACTGGAAAAGCATCTTCAAACTGAAACGCATACAGTATTTAAAAACGGTGTATTTCTCTGTTTACAAAAGTAGCATATTCTAAATTGCATAACAGATGTTCTTTATAATCACACAGGCATTGTGTATTCAGACATAGTAGTCTCAAACACATGCAGCACAACCAACTTGCAATTAATAAATACAGTGTTACTGTACACCAGCAGTACTGTAATGGAATCCAACTGTCCAGGAATGCCATCTATGCAAACGACTTACAGAAGAAAACAAAACACAACACGAGGGGCCTTGCTTTGCCCTTCGGCTGCCTTAAGAAACGTAAATCCACCTGCTGATGACACAGAGGTCCGGCAGACACCGTAACTCTCCTGCGCTTCAACTGGGCGCGTCATATGACACAGGCCGCTTAATGTAAGACGGATTATCCGCAGACAACTTACCCAACTCTTCCCTGAGAGGTAAAGCTGAGTGCGTGTGTGCAGAAAGGTGAGCTGGTGTAAACACAGAAACCACAGGACTCATAAACAATCACTGGACATCAACCAAGCAACCATCTCAAGGTTCCCAAGACGGGCCATGTTAGGTGCAACAGCTGTTGGCACTATAAACAGCATCCGTGATGAACAATATCTAGCTATTTGGTCTATAAATAGCTGGAATGGCTTGGTTACGTCATGCACACTCGCAGTAAAAAGGTTTCGCTGTGATTGCGCTGTCTTGCCCCTGGTGAAAAGGAAGCATTCAACACAATTACAATAGATTGTCTGGACCCTCAACGAGTCTCTAAAAATAGCAACAATAATCAAAGGGTCACAAAAGGAAAGGCTAGAGACTAAACGAGTGTTTATCACCACTGCTTCATTCCAAGATACTCCAAAGCTTAGGTATTAATATAGGAAATTATAAGCAATAGTTCACCCAACATTGAAAACTGTCATTGTTTTCTAACCCTCATGTTGTTCCAAACCCGTATTTAATTTTTTATTACTAAATAAATAAATGTATATTTTAAGTGCACTACTGTTCAAATGTTGGAGATGAGTGCGATTTTTTTAAGTAATTATATTTTAATTCTGTACAGATGCATTAAATTGATGAAAAGTGACAGTAAAAGACATTTATAATGTTGCAAATCATTTCTATTTCAAATATGTTTTCTATTTCTATTTCAAAACATGCTGTTCTTTTGAACTTTCTTTTCAAGGAATCCTGAAAAAAAAAAACGTATCAGTTTCCACAAAAATATGAAGCAGCACAACTGTTTTCAACATTGATATTAATAATGAGAAATGTCTCTTGAGAAGAAAATCTGCATATTAGAATGATTTCTGAAGGATCATGTGACGCTGAAGACTGGAGTAATGATGCTGAAAATCAGCTTTGATCACAGGAATAAATTACATTTTTGAAGACAGTTATTTTACATTGCAATAATATTTCACAATATTACCGTTTTACTGTATTTTTGATAAAAAAAATGCAGCCTTGGTGAGACTTTAAAAAAACAACAACATACATATAGTGTACATTTAGAAATCCAAACATACACTGTATGTGATTTGATAAGATTACATTAAACAGTTTTAATAAATTATTAGTGTTATGAAATATTAACTTGTCTTTAAGTGTAGATGCTGAAGATCTAAATACAGTAAAAAAGTCACGCAGGTTTGAAATGAATCTAAATTAAGGAAATTAAATACAATAGTTAAGTGTTTTAGAAAGGATTTTCAACGTTAAAACAAAAGGCTAAAATTACTGCATTTATTCTCTGTTCACTTATAAATATCAGAATAGGGTTTTGTCATTCTTCCACAGGAAAGACAATAAAAGATCACAACTGGGCGGAATTATTGAGAGCAGTAATGGTCAGCAAAATGCAGCCTTGGTGAGACTTTAAAAAAACAACAACATACATATAGTGTACATTTAGAAATCCAAACATACACTGTATGTGATTTGATAAAGATTACATTAAACAGTTTTAATAAATTATTAGTGTTATGAAATATTAACTTGTAAGTGTAGATGCTGAAGATCTAAATACAGTAAAAAAGTCACGCAGGTTTGAAATGAATCTAAATTAAGGAAATTAAATACAATAGTTAAGTGTTTTAGAAAGGATTTTCAACGTTAAAACAAAAGGCTAAAATTACTGCATTTATTCTCTGTTCACTTATAAATATCAGAATAGGGTTTTGTCATTCTTCCACAGGAAAGACAATAAAAGATCACAACTGGGCGGAATTATTGAGAGCAGTAATGGTCAGCGCTGGTGAGTCACAGCTGCCACCACTGGTGCATTTTGGTCTTGAACTAGCTTCAGACAAAAAAATCGAGTAAAGAGCCATTGGCTCCTATAAGAAAAAAAACGTAGGCGCCAAATTATTTTTTAGGTGCCACAGAATAAACGTGTTTTATTCATTTTATTATTAGAATTTTTTTTTTTACATTTTAACATTTCAATCATACTGTTATGTGTTTATGTCTCATCTTTTCTTGACTTTATCAGCATTTTAATCCATCTTGTAGATGTCCTGGGAACTAAGTTTCACTTAAAGTGGGAACAAAATGTCTTTTCCAACTTATATATACAGTCACAAAGAATTGTTCATTACACAGAATCTGTACCAATATCATAGACCATAAGCATCACTTGGCCACTGAGTGTAGTTTGGGCTCCTCCTCAATGCATCCTGTAAATGTTGTCATACACTCTTAAAAACAAAGGTGCTTCATGATGCCATAGAAGAACCTTTTTTGTCTAAATGGTTTCATAAAGACCCTTTACGTTTCACAAAAGGTTCTGTGAAGAACCTTTTAAGCACCTTTATTTTTAAGAGTGTATTTCTTTCACACTTTCAGTCTGTATTTCTTAATTAGTAAAATGCAATTTTATAGGAGGAGTTGAATCATGTAGACAACAGGTTAAATAAAAATATGAATATGCAATAGCACATAGATATAGCAAAATGCTCCTCTTTATAGTTATTTTTCTAGCTGACTGATGAGCTTATGGACACCGAATGGTTATTCTGAGGTAAATGTATATTACGTTGCAATGTTCACAAGCTTTACACGTTTTCCGCAGTTTGAAACACTGAATGAGCTTTTACATGAGACATTTCAGTAAGTTGTACTGTAGGCTCTCTTATAAAATAGCCTACCATTTGATGTTAATTCATGTTCATTATGTACTATAGCAGTAAAGA